TAAACCCCTTTATATCTTAGTCACCTTCTTCTGAACATGTTCCAGATGTTCAATCGTCTTCTTAAAATATTTTGCCCAGAAGTGGGCAAAATATTTCCGTTGCACCGAAGCCTAACCACAACGTAGGGCGACAAAGTACCACATATTTTGCTTGTATAGCAGAACAGGATCGGTGTGCTCTTAAACTGGATTGAGAGCCCCTTTAGCATGTTGGACTAAGGCTCCAGAGACCTGGGTTCAAATCTCCACCCGGCCATGAAGCTCACTAGGTCATCCTGAATCAGTGGCTGTTTCTGAAACCGAACTACCTCCCTGGGTTGTTGTGAGAATAACGTGGAGAGGAGGAAGGCCAGGTAGGCTACCTTGAGCTCACTGGAGGAACGATATAATGATGACAGACAAACAAAGGATATATCGGTCACATTAAGATTGCACCTTTCCTCTAATGAACTGTCATCCTGACCCGAAGAATTTCGCTACCTGGAGTATTGAACGGCACGTGCCCAGTTCACCCCAGTCTACCTGCAAAGGTGCAACCGAAGCCAGACAAAATGATTTTGGTGCCTGAGTAGAGATAGGCACCAACCGTGAGTTTAGTGTCAGTTCATGTACTGCCCGAACAGATGTTTGGCACTTCAAAGCCCCACCTCCTCTGGCCGGCACCCACTCGGAAGCATCAGCCTGACTTCCCTGCCCCGCCTCCTCTGGGCGCTGCTTCTGAGTGGGTGCCTGCGGGAGGAGGCGGGGCTTTTGAACGCCAAACACCTGTTCAGTTGCTAAACGAATCGGCACGAACTGCCGAATTGGCAGTTTGTGCCCACCTCCATGCCTGAGGCGTAAAATCCCACACAGAGCGTTCCCCCGTGTATATAAAACAACAGGCATCCATAATGGGCTGGTTGCGGCCCTGTCTGGAGAATCAAGGTCTGCTCTTTGAGGCAACCGCCCCTCTCTATCTTAGAGGCAGGCTATAAAATAACTCGGAAACATTGTTTTGGGCGACAATGCTCACTGTGAGTAATTCTGGGGGTAACTTTTCCAAGCTGTGTCTACTTAGTCACGTCAAAGCATCTTTTCCCTCACAACATCGGCCTGTCCCACCTGGTCTCCTCAGGTTTTACTTCTCTAGGTTGCTACACCAAGAGAAGCAAAGAACGCGGTTGCCAGAAACGGTGACTTCTCGGTGGTGGCCCCATCCTTATGCAATGGGCTCCCGGTACATAAGCCCCTTGACCATCCTTTAAGAGGACGCTCAATACCACCCTGTTTCAAGAGGCATTCAAAAGCATCCCCTGTCCCACCTGGTCTCCTCAGGTTTTACTTCTCTAGGTTGCTACACCAAGAGAAGCAAAGAACGCGGTTGCCAGAAACGGTGACTTCTCGGTGGTGGCCCCATCCTTATGCAATGGGCTCCCGGTACATAAGCCCCTTGACCATCCTTTAAGAGGACGCTCAATACCACCCTGTTTCAAGAGGCATTCAAAAGCATCCTTGCTTAAGCTGAGGATGCTCAATACCACCCTGTTTCAAAAGGCATTCAAAGCATCCTCTCTTAAGCTATTTTATGTGTGTTTCTAGCGTAGCAGTCATTTTGGATTTGTATATGTTGTTTGGTTGGAGAGGGTTTTTTTTAATTCAGACATTTAATGTTAGGTGGATGGGTGGCTGGACTGCTGTTAGCATGGTATTTCTGCCGACTGCTTAGGGTCTTGCTTCGCAGTAAATTAGTGGCATATAAACACTTTTGATAGATAGATAGATAGAGAGAGAGAGAGAGAGGGACGGACGGGCGGATGGACGGACGGACAAAAATATAAACACATTAAATAAATAAATAAATAAATAAATAAA